TCTGGGGGAAGGGGAGTGTTACATGTACTTAGCGGATTTAGGCCTTTCACACAAACGTTTCGATTGAGCCCACCTTTCTGAGCAGACCTGTTTCGAACTTCCATTTTCCTGTATGGAGTGGCAGGTGTAAATGGACATGTGTCTGCTTACACCAGCCTACATCCAATCCTATCCAATAAAAATAAGTGGATTAGGATCCATTCCCTTCCACCTGGCCATATCAGATCGGATGGCAGTCAGCTGTAAAAGTTCATTTACACCTGACCGACCATAGAGGAGAGCAATCTGTCATCTGCCCTCTCAGTGTGGATCAGAAGACAGAGTATGCCCCTTGTGAAAGGGGCCTTAGATACATTAACAAATTGAATCCAAACTCCAGCTCACACTGCAGTCACACAAGCAGTTACAGCAACAGTTTTTCTACTTTTGGGCTAAAGGTTTTGCATGAATAAATAAAGCTGATCTTTGACCATTGGTCAATGGTTTGTCTAAACACTGTAACTGCTACATTTGCAGGAGAGTTTGTTCTGTTGAAAACCAAGTGACTTACCGGCCAGATTACCAGGATGAAAATAAAAGAAAGTTTGAAACAGAAAATTAACACAGTCGTAATTAAGAATTGGTAAGCTTCAATAAAACTAAATGTTTTGCTTTTGTGTTTAATACCACTTTAATTCACAAAAATGCATGTTCATAACATGCTATCAGCACACAAAACTGCAGGTATTTTTGAAAACCTGTTCAAATGTTTAAGCCTAACACAGTGTCGAAATTTCAGTTTTCTTAAGTCGTATTGGTTAAGGATAAAGTCTAACTGATCGCTGTCTGTAGAGCTCTTTGCATTAAAGAAGTCCAAATGGCTGAATTTCCCGAGGTTGGCCAGCTGAATCTATAAAATTCCCCATGGGCACAACACTACTGTTCAAGCAGTATGGATCAAGACAAGAAATACATTTTAACAGAATTTATGATCTTTCTGGCTAGCTTTACAATGTCATATTTCTAAAACAGTTTATGTCTGACTTGAAAACTTGAACATGTATACATGAAGACAGAGCCAGCACATTCAGTTTGAATTCATGTCATACATTTTTGTCCCAGTCTTGCGCTGACCTCATGATAAGTATGCATAACATGCTCAGGGATCAAATTAAATTGCAAGTTTTATGCATTTAAATTGTCTACATGTTTTGGTTACATTAAGCAGAAGATCACCTTTGTCGTATTTAATGCAATCAAAGGTCAAAAGTGTATTAAATTTAAATCCACCTACATAAATTAGTTATGATAGCAGTATTGCTAAATTAGGGCACCTGACCACATTAATAATGTAGATGGAGAGGGAAATTGAGAAGAAAATAGTGTATTATATAGTAGCATTTCTTACATTAGTCTGTGGAGCAGTTCAGGATTTACAATGAGCTAGCTTGGGTCGTAGCTAGTGCATAATCAACAATGACACCTGTAGCAGTGTGATAAAGCATGTTTTCTAAGCAGGAAACCATGGATAAATTCTGCTGCATTATACAGATATTCATTTACATTTACAAGTATTAAAACCTTCTAACCATTAAAAATTTAAAAAGGCCTGAGCGAAATTAATATATCAACTAAATGTAAAAATGCATGCAGTTCAATTAGCTCCAGAAAAACATGCTTAAAGCCACACTAACCTCATATGAGGGATGATCAAAAAGTTCACAGAATGACATAGAAAGCATTTTATGAACACAAGGCATGGGCACATTTAAAAAGACACTTTCATCTTGGTCCTTCAACCATGCGTTAGGAGCAAACATCACTTCACTGCGAATAAATTTCATTCCCCACAGAGAGCTTCAGATGTTTGGAAAAATAGAAATCTTGCTTCTGTTGGACCAAACCTTTGGTGGAAATGTTCAATAGGTTTCACTTATGTTCTGTCAACATTCCTTTTAATTTATTTTACATACCACAACCTTTTTCAGACAAAATCCTATAACTAAAAAATGTTTTTTTTTTAAATCAGCCTATTATTTATAAATTGCATTTGAAATACAGTTTGATAATGCATAACCTTGTGTAAATATAACATGTGAGAAAGCAGACACAGGTTGCTAGGAGTAATTATGTGAATCTTTTTTTCATCTCTCATGTATTGCTTCTGGCTAACTGTGTTTTTTATTATCTTTTTTTTACTTAGTTGTGCAGCATGGGGCTACTACAAAGCCTCACCCTTGTATGCTTTTCTTTGACAATGCCTTTACTCCTTTGTAGGCCTTTTTTTTTTGTCTCAGTCTCTTTTATTGGTGAGTCAGCCAGGCCACTCTAGGCCTCTGATTTTTGTTCTTTGTTTTAAAGGTTCAACTAAAATATCTGCATTGTCAGGCCACATTTGCACTACAGAAGAGCATGGTGCATCTGAAGTCCCCAATCTTTAAAGCAAATTTTTCACTAGAAAAAAAAAATTAAAATAAATGCAGTTGGTAAAAATATATTGAAAAATATTTACCTATTGAAAATATTTACCTAATCTTTGTTCTCTTGTAGAGTGACTGCTGCCTCTGATATCTTCAGCACCTGACACTTGACACTGATTGTTTTATGTCTACATCCCATGCTGCTCATTATGGTTCCAAACAACTGCTTTGTATCACTAGCATGCCAGGGACACCCAGACATGTCCTGGACACTAGCATGTCCAGGGACACCCCCAAAAGAATGCTACAGATACCAGTGGCAACAGTAGTTCTGCAAGACAGTAAGATTGGGACCATCACCTCTGGAACTGGTAGGTAAACTCTATGGGCAATAATTTGTGGACACTTGACACTTACAGTATTAATAATTTTATTGACTGCTCTTATTTTGCTTTTAATTCTAATGATAAGATCACTTTCAGAATATTCCAGATTCTGTTGGCTGGTTAGTTAATGCCTTGATGAACGTCTGCAGATTGATGACCATTTTTCCATTACGCCCCATGGCTCACACCCATAGAGTAAAATGGATTTGGCATTATTCTCAAACATCATTAGCTTTGTTCTTCAGTTTGGCTCAGGAATTATTGATCCTACAATATATGTCTTCTGTGACACATTTGTATTTGCTGTACAATGCTGCCCAAATAGCAGTGCAGAACTTCTAACTCCCATGTTGTTCAAGATCATTGGCTCATTGATCCTATTGTTTGCTTTTATGTCCTTATTTTGGTCCTCATATCCAAGCCCTGTTAATTTGCTTATTCCATTACATCTTGCACTTTGGACTTGCTGTGTTTCAATGTATTAAAGATAGGGGAAATACCACAGGCAAAATCATGGTCTCCAATGTGGTCTTCACTAGATGCTCCCTTTCTGGTCATTCAGCATCTTGTCTATGACACCCTTCAAAATACGCCAACTTCTCCAACTAACACTGGACTGGACAGCAAAGTTTTATGTTATGTACTACAAGGCATCTATATTTTCTGAATATTAACTTTACATGACCATGAACAGCAGGACAATTCATAAACAAGGATTATTCACACTCCGCACTACTCCACTGTAACTTGTATTTTGTTAAAAGAGAAGTATGAACTTTAAAAAACATAAACATTTACACTCACCTACATGGATTCAGCATCAATCCCATGCTGCAGCTGTCCTTTGTTGGCTCTGCAGCGAGAATTGAGCAATCAAACACCACTGATCACTCATTTCCCTCCTCCACTCCACTGTTAGTCACTGGCTCTCTGCTCTACCTCTCCAGTGCTCACTAGAGTGCTGGGCTGTGGAGGGGGGCAGGAGGGGCTGCCAGTCCAGACTTCTGAGTGAATCCAACTATATGGTTACAATCTGTTCAGAGCCTGGGCTGGCTGAGTGACACCCCGCCCGGCCGCATTATCTATTCATAGTGTTCTATAAATGGGAAGATTACTAGAGATGAGCGAATCGAACATGACGAAGTGGAATTCGTTCCAAAGATTTGGAAAAATTCTATTCGCGACGAATCCGAAGATTAGCAAACTTCGGATGCACGAATCGAATTTTCCCAAAAATGGCGGCGACATGTGTGGCGACGGAGAAAATGGACAGAGAAGATGGGGCGGGGATCTCTGGGAAGGCGCGCAGACAAGGCGCGCTGACCCATAATGCATTCATGACATGTGATCGCATTAGCCAATCAGCAGCCAGCCAGCACTGTGTAATGGTGGAGCTATAAATCGCGGCCATCTTAGAATTCTCCATTAGCCTCCGGTCATTCAAGAGAGACAGACCTGTGTGTATTAAGGGACAGAGTTAGGGCCACAGAGACTTTAGGGCCACAGAATCGTTACTCAGGGACACAGAATCGTTACTCAGGGACACAGAATCGTTACTCAGGGACACAGTGTTCAGTGTTGTGCGCATTAAGCCAGACACCAAAGGGCAGCACAGACCTGTTATTACTCGCTCAAGCATGGCTGAACAAAACCAGTCTCTACCACAAATTGGACCCAGACCTGCCCAGGGTCTCGTAACTAGATTGCACGGAGGAGTAGAGTCCGTTATCGGAATTAAATAGACAAAACGCCACACCAAAAAGAGTGGCCATTTCCAACACTTATTCCAGAAAGAGGAACAACCCGTTTCATATACGGCCCGTAGACGTTTCACGTCTGCCACATTCAGTCGATTTAAGACGCAAGCTCCACTTCCTGTGGTCTCTGACCGTCGATATACCTTTAAGTGTCAGCTTTGAAGCTATATTCCCTCTGGAGCACTGACACTGGTGCCCTTCCGTCAACATGCCTTTAAGTTTCAGTTTTCAACCATATTCCCCACAGAAGCCAAACTCTTGGGTATCCCAGAAGCTGCTCAGCGGGTCAGGGCAATAAAGCTCCCGGTTCGCAGGTTGTTCCGTCTTATGGATGGAAGTACGACGGTATATGATCTTCTTCGCACCCACGGCATTACCTCTTAAAATTTCTGCATTGCATCTGCAATCACAACGCTGACTTCCCGGATCGCCACTCAGCCATTGGACTCTTGATAGTCGTCTCCCCACACTGCTGCTGGGGGGACTTTTTAACCTAGGCCTGTGTATGGCCTTCAATTGAAGCTGCTTCCGCTCCGCCACTCTGCCATGGGCCTCTTGGGTATCCCAGAAGCTGCTCAGCGGGTCAGGGCAATAAAGCTCCCGGTTCGCAGGTTGTTCCGTCTTATGGATGGAAGTACGACGGTATATGATCTTCTTCGCACCCACGGCATCACCTCATAGAATCTCTGCATTGCATCTGCAATCACAATGACTTCCCGGATCGCCACTCAGCCATTGACTCTTGATAGTCGTCTCCCCACACTGCTGCTGGGGGGACTTTTTAACCTAGGCCTGTGTATGGCCTTCAATTGAAGCTGCTTCCGCTCCGCCACTCTGCCATTGGACTCTTGATAGTCGTCTCCCCACACTGCTGCTGGGGGGGACTTTTTAACATAGGCCTCTGTATGGCCTTCAATTTAAGCTGCTTACGCTTCGCCACTCTGCCATGGGCCCCTGTACCGCCTCCTCTTGCTGCTACCAGGTCCAGAGTGTGTCATGGGTCCCTGTACGGCCTCCCATTGCTGCTGACTTCATCGCCAGACTCTGCCATGTGCCACTTTCAGGTCTCCTTACACTGTTGGTGGGTTCCATTTTGTGATAGGGTGCTGTATGGCCTTCCATTGCTGCTGCCTCCACCGCCACCCTGCGCCATGTGCCTCTGTCGTCTGCTCACGCTGCTGACGGCTTCCGCTTTTTAACCGAGGCCTGTGTTTGGCTTCCGAATACTGCTGCATCCACCGCCACCCTGCGCCATGTGTCTCTGTCGTCTGCTCACGCTGCTGACGGCTTCCGCTTTTTAACCTAGGCCTGTGTATGGCTTCAGAATAATGCTGCCTACACCGCCACCCTGCGCCATGTGCCTCTGTCGTCTGCTCACGCTGCTGCCAGGTCCATACTGATTCATGGCCCCCTGTACCGGCTCCTCATGAACGTGGTTCAGCGGGTTTGCATCACTTAACGGCAAATCGTTGACAAACGCTGGGACGTTCAGTGTTGTGCGCATTAAGCCAGACACCAAAGGGCAGCACAGACCTGTTATTACTCGCTCAAGCATGGCTGAACAAAACCAGTCTCTACCACAAATTGGACCCAGACCTGCCCAGGGTCTCGTAAGTAGATTGCACGGAGGAGTAGAGTTCGTTATTGGAATTAACTGTGAGGGACTTTTAAACCTAGGCCTGTGTATGGCCTTCAATTGAAGCTGCTTCTGCTCCGCCACTCTGCCATTGGACTCTTGATAGTCGTCTCCCCACGCTGCTGCTGGGGGGACTTTTTAACATAGGCCTCTGTATGGCCTTCAATTTTAGCTGCTTACGCTCCGCCACTCTGCCATGGGCCCCTGTACCCGCCTCCTCATGCTGCTGCCAGGCCCGTAATCTGCCATGGGCCCCCGTACTGACTCCTCATGCTGCTGCCAGGCCCGTAATCTGTCATGGGCCCCTGTACCGCCTCCTCATGCTGCTGCCAGGTCCAGAGTGTGTCATGGGTCCCTGTACGGCCTCCCATTGCTGCTGTCTCCATCGCCACACTCTGCCATGTGCCACTTTCAGGTCTCCTCACACTGCTGGTGGGTTCCATTTTGTCATAGGGTGCTGTATGGCCTCCCATTGCTGCTGCCTCCACCGCCACACTGTGGCTCCACACTCTGGTTTTGGCCCCGTGACTGCCCAAATGAGTGAAGTGTGCGGTGATTCTAAGATCGACGGCACTCATCTGCATGTCATACTGACTGACAGTATTATTTCTCTTCCCCAGCAGACTCCAAGGGCATTTAAATTAAAGGTACAGTGTTCTGCACTAATATAAAGGCTCTCTGAAGCCTAGAAACACCCTTTTTATAAGTTTAAATTCGCAGCGGATATATTCGGCTCGAAGCGAATTTATTCGGCGAATCAGCCGAACCGAATTTTTGAATAATTCGCTCATCTCTAAAGATTACAAGTTCCGACAGCCTTTGCAGCTGTCAGCTTGTAGTTCTCAATTAACTATCACCGTACTGTTAAGCACTGTGGTAGTCAATTGATTCTTCCTGTCAGTATACAACTGTCTGCTTGTACGGGTGTATGGGCAGACAACTTACACAGACAGTCTGCAGGAGACCTTCATGGCACCAGCAATATGCTGATCGCTGGTGCAATGTTTTCCAGGTTCCTAAAACAAAAAATAGTAAATGCACATTTTTTTACTTGCCAAAGGTGAACTTATCCTTTAAGTACTTTTCTTGTAAGTTTGAGTAGGAGTAATTTCTTCCACCCCTTTTGGGTTTTGTATTTTTTCCCAAATAATTCTGAATAAGAGAAAAAGGAAAGAAGCTTTGTCTGCTTTGAGAACCTCTGCTGAAATTAGATCCATGGTACTCATTTTAATAATTTTCAAGTGGCCCAGACAATTTCTCTAAATTTGCGATTTCTCCCAACCTTGGCTTCTGCCCTAAAATGGTGCCGTGGTCTCTCTCTCTCTACTGATTTAGCCCAGTCTGGAAATGTTTCCTTTACCTATGAAGCTGATCATCATCATTCATCATACACTTTCTCTCTTTACTGTTCAGTCTTTGTTCAGCAGGAAACATTTGCTCAGTTGTTTTGTGATATTGTACTATTCACAACTCTTCTCCATCTTCCTTGCTTACAAGTTTTTCTGTCCACTGCCTTGTCCAAAACCCTGGATTGACAACTTGCACTGGCAGTTACAGTGGGAAAATAAGGTTGCAGCTCCCACTGCTTTGGGAGAACACAGTGCCTGCAAAAATTGAGGCTAATCAAAGTAGAGAAAGGCTTACTGTACAGGCTAGAAAGAGATTTTTTCTGTAAACAGAAATGGTAGAGATTTCTTTAAAAGCATGCTATTTCCAGCCTTTCTGAGGTTGCCAATTAATGAGGATTCACTTGGCTGACTTAATGAGTTGGAACGTGACCCCTGCCATCTGTGCACAATTTTCTCATATAACAACATTTAACGATATATCAAGGCACTTGGCAATATATTCTTCTTTCCTGTTCAAACTTCTTTGGATGTAGACAATGATCTTTTACCTCTGACTCTCTGCAGCTACCAAGTAAAGCCCTCCTGATTCATACTTGGTTATGGGATTCCAGATTCTTACTGTCATCATTTTTATAAAACCGAATGTCAACCGTCATCATTTGATCAGTTCTAATTAAGGTGTAGCAACCTCTAGTTGGCAACTAGAATAGTATAGTGTATCATAGGTAAAGTCAGTGTGTATGACTCATGGTAATTGTGTGAGTCTGTGATCAGGTTATTGCAGGTCAGCTGGATGGCATGTTATGGGGTCCAGCCAAACCCCGGTTTGGAAGCCCTGGGAGAGTGGTGGGTGCCCCTAAATTGGGAGAGTCAG